CACTAGCCGTTTTTGGTGTAGTGTTAGCGCGCCGCTGGCGCCGCTATGCTGCGTTACGCTACGCTACAGCGTTTTAGCGGCAAGAAACGCCACAAAACCGCTAAAAATTGCTGTAATGCAGCGTAGCGGGCAGTTTTTGGCAGCCTGTGCGTGTAGCGTTAGCGCAGATGGGGGGAATCGCGCTAACGCTACACTAAAAGTTAGCGCAAGGTTTCACCCCATGCGCGTAGCGTTAGCGCAAAAAATGAAAAAAGCACTAACACTACGCTAAATTGTAGCGAAAAATCGCTACACTACGCTACGCTAACGCTACGGTTAGCGTAGCTGGCCCACCGTTGACTACAGGCAAAACCAGATCAGTCATCGGCATCCATTAAAAAAACAAATCACCATCATGGAACTCGACCCAGCCGACCTGGAAATAATAATTCGGCGAAGGCAACTTCTTGCAAGGTCCAGATCTACAATCAATGCTGTCCTGCAAGTCACACCAATCCTACTTGAAGACAGCAAAGACAAGACCAAAGATCCTTCACATGGTGGTTCAAAGCCCGGAAAACAACCCAACTTGCCCCAAGACTTTGAAGGAAGCTACAAGCGGCTTATGGAGCATTACTTCTCCTCACAGCCTCTGTACGACGAACACATCTTCCGACACCGATTTTGAATGGGTCGTCCTCTCTTCTTGAAGATTGCCGATGCCGTTGAGAATTTCGACAGTTACTTTACTCATCGACCTGACGCGTTGGGTAAACTTGGAGTCAGGCCGCTTGTGAAAATAACAGCAGCTTTACGAATGCTTGCCTACGGTGCTGCAGCAGACTGCAACAACGAATACCTTCAGCTCTCCGAGTCGACCTCCTTACAGTGTATGGACTGATTTTGTACGGCTATAGTCTCTATCTACTCAGCAGAGTATCTTCGACACCCAACAACCACCGACTTGCATCGACTCCTCACCACTGGTGCCAAACGAGGATTTCCGGGTATGCTAGGATCACTCAATTGTATGCATTGGGAGTGGAAGAACTGCCCATCCAGTTGGACTGGACAATCCAAGGAAAAGAGAAGAGGCCAACCATCATTCTTGAAGCGGTTGCATCTAGCGACCTGTGGATCTGGCATGCCAGGTTCACACAACGACATCAATTTCCTCGATACATCACCTCTATTTGCCAACCTGTTGAATGGTCAAGCTCCCCGATGCGAATACGAGATCTGCGGGAACGTCTACCAGCAAGGATACTACCTCGCCGATGGAATCTATCCGGATTGGCTGACATTTGTGAAAACAATGTCTCAGCCTCGGGGAGCAGAACAGAGGCATTTTGTTAAAATGCAAGAAGCCCTCTGCAAAGACGTCGAGTGTGCCTTTGGGGTACTCCAAGCTCAATTTGCCGTCGTTTCGCGTCCTGCTCGTGGCTGGAAGCATCACACCTCATCGAAAACATCATGAAGGCGTGTATCATCCTCCACA